CATCAACGATGTTGCAGTAACCCTCCCGCCCAGCTTCCTCTACAGAAGTCCCTACAGTAAGATATTGGGACGGGTTTACGGCTGGTGCCGACGACCATGAAGGGGGACGACGATCACGACGGCGGCGTCGGCGACGACGACGACAACGCTGACGTGGAGCAGAGTGCTCAGGGGCGTCTTCCACACACCGACAGGGGTGGCTGATTTTCACTACGGGAAGTGCCTCATTCAAAGACAGCCGTATGATGACCGTGAATATTGCTAAAACATAGTTCCTGGGATTGCAACGTCGCAAATCAACGTGAATGGTGCGTCGTGACAACCTCAAACCGTGCCAGAACACCATTCATGCGATTTCAGCACCGCGAGTCAACATGCTTGCTGCGTCTTGACAATCTTGAGTCGTGCCAAACTGCAGCTTCTGGGATTTCAGCCCTACGATTCTTTGAAAGGGATGCAACCTTTTCAAGCGAATGCGCGCGGTGCTAAGGCGAGAGCCACATATTGAAAAGGAGCCAGTTTTCATTCTCGAAGCGGTTGCAACTTCTACACAAGACGAGCGTGCCCCGCGCTAAGGCAAGAGCCACATGTTGGAAACGACGTGTGCTCTATCCCTGAAAGTGTTGCACATTTCAAGCGTTAGGATCACAAATGGCGGTAAAAGCTTAGGCGAAGCACCCGCCCAGCCTACCAGCAAGTCTGGGGGTGTGACAGGGAGGAGTTATTCATCAGGAAACGGGATGGAGGAGGAACAGGAGGAGGAGGAGGAGGAGGAGGAGGAGGAGGAAGAGAGGAGGTGGGACCATACCATGACTGCTCGTTCCTCGCCCGCCCCCCTGCAGCGCCTGTCGCACTGGAGACGCAGCACTCAATCAGAAGAGACGGGGAAGAAAGCCGACAGCCCGCCGCGCCTCGTGCAGAGAGCCGCCTCGCTGCGTTCGAGCTCCGGCGAGGAGAAGGAGAGGGAGGAGGAGGAGGAGGAGGAACAGCAGGAGGAGGAACAGCAGGAGGAGGAGGAGGATGTGGTAGAATGAGCCCAGCGGGGTAATGCGAGATTGTTTGGACCCCCCGCTGCTGCTCGGCTCACTGGCGAGTTTTCAGACTGCACCGATCGTTTGACATCGTGCTGCCCACGAAGAGTTCTTTTGAACGTGCACGGTAGCGAAGCGATGTTATCTTGCTGACAGTTGAAACGCAGGTTTCTGTTGAGGCATGCATGCAGGTCATTCGAGGTAAAACATGTTGGATGTATGTCTGTAGACATTATACTACACGTGTCGCCTCTCAGCAGGAGGTGGTGCTTACAACTCTATAGAGACAGGCATCCAGGCAAACCATGAAGGACACGTCCATTGCATGAAGCAGTGAGTTGACCAGCGAGAGAAAATATGTGCAGCCAATTATTGCTTCCGTAATGACACAAATGGCGTGCAAAACGTAAACAGCGCTTGCTAGCGCTTGATAGGCATGATCCACACGGATAACACGGCTCAAGAAGAAAGTGTGGTGGCTAAGCAACTATTGGCCGATTGCGAGCGAGTTGCTATGGATGGTATATGCATGCATGATATGTTGATCAATCTCACCAAACACATGGATCGTCCAAAGTCGGGCGGGGGGCGGCTTAGGTCCAATCAGCAAGTCCAAGGCGATCCAGGCGTTAAAACTCCTTTATTGTGACTGGACCGAGATTCAATAATGGAGCGGGAAGTTGTTCAAGTTCTCGCGCAGATGAACACCGGCAGCCGCAACGTGTCAAATTGGCTGCCAGTGTGGACCCCAAACACTGCATTATTGCATTCTTGGTGTGTCTATGGTGCAGTGTCTGCTGCACATTCTATTTGTGCAAACCAGTTGGTGCAATCAACCGCGCAGAACTTGAAGTCGTCAAGTCCACTGCCCGCGCAATCATTCAACCCTCCCACCCGCAACCTGTTCTGCACAGACAAGTCGGCCACGATTGCGGTGACTACTTAGCAATCGCCGGCGCATCTTTGCGGCCGCGCTGGCGCGCGAGCTCGTCCAAGCTCGCGCGCAGAGCGGCCAGCTGGTTTGGCACAGCTGATGCGGCCGCGATGGTGTCTGCCAGTGGGAACTTTCCCGCACGCTTCAGAGGCAGCGCTGGCGCGCGGGCGCGTCAGTGCGGGTCTGTGGTTCGGGCTGGCGCGTTATCGTCACGTCGACAACGACGGCAACGATGATGATAGTAAGGAGGGTGGTTGCGATGGTGACGATGACGACGGCAAGGCCAGTGACGGCGCCGGTGTTGGTGACGACGCTGACGATGTTGGTGTCCATGTCCATGTGTCAATGATGAAGGTGATGGATCGATGATGGGGGCAATGGAGGCGATTGACGATGACGATGACGTGATGCGGTGGCGCTGATGACGGACATGGTGAGGAAGTGCGCGCGCGAAAGTACAAGATAGCTGGTATAGTTTGTTGAACAACCAATGGCTTTGAATAGGTGTTTGAAGAATTTGCTCTTGGCGTGCTTCGAACACACATGATCTGGGAAGTATTTCGACGCGCGCGTGGCGGCGCGCGCGTGTGGCCCGCATGGTGTTCGTTGGTACGGATTCGTGCGGTGGGCGCATGCTGGATCAATTCGGATGCACTGCGTGGTGAGATTAGGATGCCCGTTCCAGGCGAGAGTGCTGAGATTATATGGCTTCCTCATAGTTTCGGAAAGTTTGCGCGGGCAGAGCATCTGCAATCTCTGTGATGGATAACCCAAGTGTTCTTGATGATTGTATGTTGACAAATTTGCAGAACTATTGTGCTGTGAATGATTTCGACATGCGCGCGCGTGTTCAGTTTTGTTTTGTGAACGGGGCTATTGGAACATGACCTCCTGATATAAACGAGCGCGCGCATAATACCTATACGACCACCCTGCGGGTGATAAGGAGGTGAGGGGGGAGGGGGAACCAACGTCTCACTCAATCGATCTCGCTATCGATCTCACATTCGGTCTCACATTCGGTCTCACATTCGGTCTCACATCGGGACACCATCATCATCATCATCATCATCATCATCATCATCATCATCATCATCATCATCATCATCGACATCATCATCATCATCAACGTCATCATCATCATCATCATCATCATCATCATCATCATCATCATCATCATCATCATCATTATCATTATCATTATCATCATCATCATCATCATCATCATCATCATCATCATCATCGGGACACCGTCATCATAATCATCAACATCATCATCATCATCACCATCATCAACATCATCATCATCAACATCCTCGTCATCGGGGCACCATCTTCATCAACATCATCAACGTCATCATCATCATCATGATCATCATCATCATCATCATCACCACCATAATCATCACCATCATCACCATCATCACCATCATCACCATCACCATCTCACAATCGATCTGACTATCGATCTCACAATCGATCTCACTATCGATCTCACATTCGGTCTCACATTCGGTCACCACCGATATCACAATCGATCTCGCAATCGACGTCATCATCATCATCATCATCATCATCAACATCAACATCATCAACATCATCATCATCATCATCGCCATCATCAACATCATCATCATCATCATCATCATCATCATCATCATCATCATCATCATCATCATCATCATCATCATCATCATCATCATCATCATCATCATCATCATCATCATCATCATCATCATCAACATCATGATCGGGACACCGACGGGACACCGACGGGACACCGGCGGGACACCGGCGGGACACCGCGCGCCACCGGCCGCCCGGTGGAGAATCATTTGGTCCGGCCGCGCCTCAGCCACAGAGGACACCACCGGGACACCGGCGGGACACCGCGCGCCACCGGCCGCCCGGTGGAGAATCATTTGGTCCGGCCGCGCCTCAGCCACAGGAGACTTTCCTCTCGCCCGCCCACGCAGCTTCGCCTCGCCCGCACGCACGGCACGCACGAACACGAAACCGAAATCGATTTCCCGGTAGGGGGGCTCTCCGTTCCACTTCGATCTCACCCCCTCACCTCCGATTATTTGACAGGGATGGGGGGGGGCGATGAGGTCACCCTGGGATGGCATGAGTCCACATGAAAAAACGAACGACGAGGCAGAAACACAAGTAATTTGCAGCTTCCCAGGGAGGGCGATCAGTCCAGGCTCAGGGTTCTGGTGGAGTTTACGCTTCTTCTTAAACGAGTGTCCACATGGTGCAGCTAATTTTTGCCAAGGCATGATTTGTCAACTCCACTGGTCTCGTAATTATCCAAAGCCCACCCGCAATTTGTTCAGCACAACCCACGCGGCCACGATAGCGGTGGCTACTTGGCACTTGTCGGAGCATCCCTGCAGCTGCGCTAGCGTCCGCAAGCTCGCGCGCAGAGCGGCCAGCTGGATTGGCACAGTTGACGAGGCCGCGATGGCGTTTACCAATGGGAATGTCCAAGCGCGTGCCAAAGGCCGCGCTGGCACGCGGGCGCGGCAATGCGCGTTTGTGATTCGGTAGGGCGCGTTACTATGATTAACGGGCGGAGAGCGGTATACAATGAACTGTTTCGCTGTCGGGGGCGCCTGTCCCAGGGCAGGCGTTTCCGACGGCGGAACAAAAATAGTTTATACCGTTCGTCGCCCGCTGATATGATGACGCCGACAACGGCGGCAACGATCATGATCGTAGGGATGGTGGTGGTGGCGATGATGACGATGATGACGGCAAGGCCAGTGGCGGCGACGTCTTGGGACCGTCTTGGCGGCCATTTAGGGCCATTTCGGCCGTCTTGGGCCGATTCGTTTTGGACGTTGAGATTTTTATGTGCCTATGCGTCCTTCGGGGTCCTTCTGGGTGGCCTGCTGGTTGGGCCGAAGGCCCCTCGAAACTTCAAAACAGCCAACACCGTCCGTGGCCATCTTGGCTCAAGAACCGAGCTGGCCAGTGGGGCTCCCCTCGCGCGCGCGCGGCGGCCGCGGGGGCCGCGGCGGTGGGGGCCGATGGCCGCCAGCGCGCAGAAGGTGAGGCTCATCGCAGGCGGATGGACGGCAGCCTTGGGCGCCGCCGGCTTCGTCACGCACAGGCGCCTCAGCAGCTTTGAGGAGCGGGGCCCCTGCGTGCGCCAGGCGGTGGAGCTGCTGGCCGCCTCCGGGGCGGCGCGGCAGACGCTGGGCGGCGGCGGCCTGCGGTTGGCCTGGTGGCCCCGGGAGTGCCAGGTCCACGGCGCGGCTGGGCGATCCTGCGCCAGCTTCGTGGTCCAGGGGGACGCCGGGCACGTCCGGGTGCTCCTGGCGGCGCGGAGGCGGCCGCCGGCCACCCAGGCCGAGTGGGAGGCCGCCGAGGACGACCTGGACGTGCGCGAGCGAGGCTGGAGTTGTGGAAGCAGCCTGAGGAAGCATGCTGCCAAATAGATTATTGGAGAGGAAGCAGCCTGAGGAAGCATGCTGCCAAATATTTTCCAGATGTCTCAACGATGTTTCAAGCATGTTTTAGTATGTAGAAAGAACAGGTATGACACATTTTTAGAAGATGCTTTACATACTTCAAACATATCTGAAACTCAATGATAGGATGGTTCGAGTGTCCATTGTCGTGGCATCCGCGAGGCTGGAGGTTCTACCTGTCGCAGCCCTGGGAGCTCAAGGCGCTGGCCTTCGGAGCCCTGGGTGGTCTGCGGCAGGGGCGCGCCGCGGAGGCCGCAGTGGAGGCGTTGCCGTGGGATATCGAGGCGCTGGTGATCTTGCCGGGTGTCAGGAGGGGGGAAACACACACAGACACAATGAATCGTCGATTCCCCAGGAAATAGGGGAAAATGTGGGAGGTGGGGGGGAAGACGGAAACCCAGGAGATATAGGAAAACAGGGGGCATCCTGCTGCTCGTGTCCGTCTATTTGTGTGCCCCAGGGCCCCCTCAAGGTGGAGACGCGGCCAACCCCGCTGTGCTGATCGGAGACGCCCGGGCGGCGCCGGGCTACGAGGCGCTCTGCGTGCGCCGCGACGGCGAGGCCAAGAGCGAGGCCTCTCGCGCGCGGCTCCGCGGCTTTGCTTGCGTCGCCCTCGCCGCCGCCGCGGTGGCGGGCGGCAGGCGGCTGGCGAAGTCCGTGCGGGTGTCCAGCAGCTACGGGCACGTCAGGCGCCGCCTGCTCGCCCACAGCGAGGTGGCTGCGAGGCTGGGGCCGCGGGCCAGCGTCCAGAGCTCCTCCGGGACGTTCGAGGCCGGGTACATCAACGCCCAGATTTAGGTCGGGCGCGGCCCTCTACAGGCGGAGTATTCAAAGGTAGTCAAGCAATAGTCCGGGGACGATTTTCGGAGTCTTTTTGACCTTTGGGGGGGCATTGTTTCGAGTATTTTTCAGTTGTCGTCCAAAATCCGCCTGCGGCAGGACACGCCCGACCTAAGCCCAGATGCGCCTCGTCGGCGACTCGGGTGGCGTCGCAGACGTGGAGATCGCGGCCACGCGCGCGGGAGGCGGCAAGGGCGACTGGCGGGTGGTGTTGGCAAGGATGAGGTCTGGCGGGCTCACATTCAACCTGGACCGCGGCCAGTTCTGATGCCCCTCTTCCCCCCCGCCTCGCCGCCCAACCGAGAGGACACCGAGCGCGCGGTGGAAGCAGCAAACAAACTACCCCAGTGCGACCCTACCTAGAAGTTGGAGCCCCTAGGAAAGCAGCATTAGTTGCTATGCAATGCTATGCCATGCTATGCTGCGCTATGATATGCTATGCTGTGCTGTGCTGTGCTATACTATGCTATGCTATGTTATGCTGTGCTATGCTATGCTATGCCATGCTGCGCTGTGCTATGCTAAGATATGCTATGCTATGCTATGCTATGCTGCGCTGTGCTATGATGTGCTATGCTATGCTGCGCTGTGCTATGCTGTGCTGTGCTGTGCTGCGCTATGCTAGGCTATGCTATGCCATGCTGCGCTATGCTATGCTATGCTGGGCTATACTATGATATGCTGTGCTGCGCTATGCTATGCTACGCTATGCTACGCTATGTTGTGCTCTGCTATGCTAGAGCTCAGCGAAGCTAAGATGAAGATCAGCTAAGCTAAGATAAACCTGAGCTAAGATGAAGCTGAGCTAAGCTAAGATGAAATAAGCTAAGCTAAGATGAGATAAACAACGCTAAGCTAAGGGGACGTAACTGGGGGAACCGCTGGGCGGATACCGGGGGAACCGCCCGGGGCGATTTCCACTAGCAAACAAACACCACCGAACATCCAGTTCGCCGTGCATCCCTGTGGCAAGCGAACAGGGAGCGGCGGATCGAAGATGCCTACGGCGAATCACCGCCGCCCCCTGCCTTTCTGGAAGGGCCTATGTGGCCGATGGTTGGGCTAGAGCTATCGGACCATGCGTTCCCCCAGCTGTCGTTGAAACCTTTCGGAGAACACGTGAGGAAGAGGATAATGAGAATAAGTATTATGGGATGAAATAAAGGAAGTAGGAGGAGGAGAAGGAGAAGGAAGAGGAGGAGGAGGAGAAGAAGGAGGAGGACGCCTCTTGGAAAACTTTTAGGGCATGGGTGCTTCCCGGGGGCCTCTTGGAGGCCTCTTCGGGGCCTCCTGGGGCCTCTTGGGAGCCTTTGGGGTCTTGTTCGGGGCCGCTTTGATCGTCTTGGGGCATTCCTGGCCCGTCTGACGCCTTGCGAAGCCGTCTTTGATGCTTGTCTGAACCGACTTGGAGCCTTCCAGGGACGCTTCAGGGCTGTCTTGGAGGCCATCGTGGGCCTCTTCGAGGCCTCTTGGGCCGTCTTAGGGCTCGTTGGGGGCTGTCTTGGGAGCCTCTTGGGCCGTCCTAGGGCCATCTTGGCAGCCTCTTGGGAGATCTTGGGCAATCTTGGGGGCCTCTTGGGCCGTCTTGGGCCGTCGGAATGCCGAAAAGAAGCAAATGCCCGAAACCTTCAGAAACCTCAGGAAAATCAAGGATTTGGGCCCCTTCGGGCCTTCCCAGGAGGACCTCTTGGAGGCCTCCTGGGCCGTCTTGGAGGCCTCTTGGAGGCCTCTTGGGCCGTCTTGGGCCATCTTGAGTCAATCTTGGGCCGGGTTGGGTGCATGTTGGGCCGTCTTGGTCCATCTTGGAGCCATCTTGGGCTCTTTTGCAGCCATCTTGGCTGTCTTGGAGGCCGTCTGTGCCGTCTTGGAGGCCATCTTGTGGCATCTTGGAGCCATCCAGAGCGGAAAAAACCTTTGCCAACCACCCCGCCCGGGGCTTCCCGGGTGACCGGCGCAATGAGCCGAAACCCCATGGGGAGCTTCTGAAAGGAGCCAGCAACCTCTGAGAAATCTGGCGCGCCAGGCACACCTGTGATAGATCAATATGGGGGCGGCGGATCTAGCTAGTGGCATTCGGCCCATGCCGCCAATCTGCCTAGGTTGCAGGTCAGAGGCCTTTGGGGTGCGTGTGTGGATCTCTTAGGAGGCTTCTCGGGAGACTCTTCGGGGCGGTCTTGGGGGGTGTCTTCGAGACTCCTGGGGGCCTCTTGGGGGGTTTCGTGGAGCCTGATTTAGGCTTCTTGGGGGCCTCCTGGTGCTTTAGGGGTCCCCCTGGAGGCCTGCTGGCGGTCTTGGGGGGCATCTTGGGGCGGAGGGCTCGAAATGTCGGTTTGTGTTCCCCCTCTGGGACCCTTTTGGGCCATCTTGGGGGGCTCTTGGGCAGTTTGGGCGCCCGTTTGGGGCGATTTGGGGACCTCGTGGGGCTTCGGGGGCCTCTTGGGCCGTCTTGGAGCGTCGGGATCCCGAAAAGGCGACGACGCTAAAATCGCTCAAACGCGCAAGGAACGTCTATGATTTGGGTCTCTTGGGGCCCTCTTGGGAGGGCTCTTGGGTCTCCCTTGGGGCATCTTGCTGGCCCCTTGGGCCGTCATCGGGACATCTTGGGCATCTTGGAGCGATCGTGGGCTGACCCGGGGGCTCTATGCGGGGACACGCTGGGAAAAACATGGCACGCGGGGAGTCCAGGGAAAAAGAGGAATTTGGGGTAACGCAAGGAAAACCCCCTCAGTGTTATCACGGTGCGTAAGCGTCTGTGTGGAATATTGCGTCCAACATTTGAGACAATGGGTGGAACGTTGCAGTGGCTTGGCGAAGAAGACATGTTGACTTTGTTCAGCGGTAGCTTAACGGGTAACGCATATGAGACAGCAGTGTACGCAGCAAATTCAGAGTATTGTCACAACAATTGGTCATGAACGCATCTTTGAGGGTTCTCCAATATACACGAAGATTTGTGGTACACTCGTCCGTAGCCATTCTGGCTCAAGCCAGTTTGGCTCAAGAAGGCGTTGGTATCCTGTTGAAGGTTTCCCGGCCGCACTGCCACGAGCAGTTATGGATCCCCTGGGAAGGGGCGCATCTCTTGTTCATCTGTCGGACTCATGCGTAGGCCAGATTCTGAATTATTTCGATGGCAAGGGGTTCCTTCATGGATTTGCGAATTTGCACAGGCTTTCGCGACGAAGTAGACGTCTTGCGGATGCAGCGTTTTGCATGCGGCAGGCGGTAGATGCCAGCGGGTGCATCCTCTTGAAAGATGCAGCTGCAGCACGTTTTGCGAGCTGCACCGCTCTGCAATCCGTCCACTTCGGGGGATGTGGCAAGCTGACGGACAGGGCCGCGGAGCACCTGGCGCGCTGCGCTTGTCTGCAATCCGTCAACTTCTTCGATTGTGGCAAGCTGACGAACAGGGCCGCGGAGCACCTGGCGCGCTGCGCTCGTCTGCAATCCGTCAACTTCGGGCGTTGTTACAAGCTGACGGACAGGGCCGCGGAGCACCTGGCGCGCTGCGCTTGTCTGCAATCCGTCAACTTCGGGCATTGTTACAAGCTGACGGACAGGGCCGCGGAGCACCTGGCGCGCTGCGCTTGTCTGCAATCCGTCCACTTCGGGGGATGTGGGGAGCTGACGGACAGGGCCGCGGAGCACCTGGCGCGCTGCGCTTGTCTGCAATCCGTCCACTTCGGGGGATTGGAGCTGACGCGCGTCAACTTCGAGCATTTTTACAATCTGACGGACAGGGCCGCGGAGCACCTGGCGCGCTGCGCTTGTCTGCAATCCGTCAGCTTCGGGCGTTGTCGCCAGCTGACGGACAGGGCCGCGGAGCACCTGGCGCGCTGCGCTTGTCTGCAATCCGTCCACTTCGGGGGATGTGGGGAGCTGACGGACAGGGCCGCGGAGCACCTGGCGCGCTGCGCTTGTCTGCAATCCGTCAACTTCGCAAGCTGACGGACAGGGCCGCGGAGCACCTGGCGCGCTGCGCTTGTCTGCAATCCGTCAACTTCGGATTGTTACAAGCTGACGGACAGGGCCGCGGAGCACCTGGCGCGCTGCGCTTGTCTGCAATCCGTCAACTTCGGGGTTGTTACAAGCTGACGGACAGGGCCGCGGAGCACCTGGCGCGCTGCGCTTGTCTGCAATCCGTCAACTTCGGGATTGTTACAAGCTGACGGACAGGGCCGCGGAGCACCTGGCGCGCTGCGCTTGTCTGCAATCCGTCAGCTTCGGGCGTTTGTTACAAGCTGACGGACAGGGCCGCGGAGCACCTGGCGCGCTGCGCTTGTCTGCAATCCGTCAATTTCGGGGGATGTGGGGAGCTGACGGACAGGGCCGCGGAGCACCTGGCGCGCTGCGCTTGTCTGCAATCCGTCAACTTCGAGACTTGTGGCCAGCTGACGGACAGGGCCGCGGAGCACCTGGCGCGCTGCCCTTGTCTGCAATCCGTCAACTTCTTTGATTGTGGCAATCTGACGGACAGGGCCGCGGAGCACTTGGCGCGCTGCGCTTGTCTGCAATCCGTCAGCTTCGGGCGTTTTTAACAAGCTGACGGACAGGGCCGCGGAGCACCTGGCGCGCTGCGCTTGTCTGCAATCCGTCAACTTCCTTGCTTGTGGCAATCTGACGGACAGGGCCGCGGAGCACCTGGCGCGCTGCGCTTGTCTGCAATCCGTCCACTTCGGGGGATGTGGGGAGCTGACGCACAGGGCCGCGGAGCACCTGGCGCGCTGCGCTTGTCTGCAATTCAAGTAATTTCGAGAGGTGTGGCAGTTCCTTGTTGTCGTCCTACTCCCTCCCCTACTCCGCCCGCCTTTCGTGGTAGTGAGCGCTTTCCAGAACTACAGCGTCGTGGTGCACTCCCCTCTCCTGCCTGGGCAGGGGCCTGGAGCGGTTTCTGTTATGGCGCGTTCGGCCACTTCGAATATCTTTGCTTTGAGGGGGAGTGCTCATGATGCTCAGTCAGTCTTTGTAGCTCAGGCCCGCGCGAAGCCCGTGGGTCGGAGGTCGCGGGATACGGGCTCGAGGGGGCTTGCCTAGTGTCCTACGAGGGGCTCTGCTGTGGGAAGGGGTGGTGCCATGAGTCGCCCACTGGATATTCCTCCACGGGGGCCGTCTCCAGGCCAGTGCGTTTTCCCCGCCAACAGGGCCTTTCATGTGGGAAGTTTGCTTCTGAAGCACTTAGATCCAAACTTAGTTAGTCTCGTAGCTAAGGAGAGACATTGGGTCCCAGAGTTCTCTGCTTTGCAAAAAAATATAGCCGGAGTGCAGTATCCCCAAACAGGGTTTTTAGACCCACTGCGGTTTCCAGGGTCGATTGCGTGCCCGTCCAGTGCGGGCTGGCATGGCATGTTTAACATGCCTCCTCCTCCTCCTCCTCCTCCTCCTCCTCCTCCTCCTCCACCTCCTCTTCATCCCGAACGGCATCTCGGAGCCAAGAGTTGCGAGAATGTCTCAGGCGAAACGGGCTGGACCGCCTCGCGCGCGGCATTTCGGACCCTAGAGTTGCGACGATGTCTCGGGCGAAACGTGCTGCGAGGAAGTCTCAGGCGAAACGGGCCGGACCTCTTCGAGCGCGGCGTCTCAGAGCTCCGAGTTGCGTGGGCCTCCTGGGGCCTCCTGGGGCTTCCTGGGGACCTCCTGGAGCTTCCTCCTGGGCCTCCTGTGGCCTCTTGGACCCCACCTGGGGCTTCCTGAAGCCTCTTGGGGCTCCCAGGGGGGATATCTAACATGTGGCCGTCGGGCCCCCCCTCAAATGGGGAGGGGGCCACAAGAGCAGGAAAAATCAACGAATCGACACCAGATGTGTATTAACTTGACACGTTCTGATAGGGGGCCTCCTGGGGCCTCCTGGGAGCCTCCTGGGAATCTCCTGCGGACCCCTGGGGCCTGTCCTGGGCGTCCTGCGGCCTCCTGCAGCTCTCTGGAGCCTCCTGGGGCTCCCATGGTCCCAGGGGGGATATGTAACATGTGGTCTTCTGCGCCCTCAGGCTGGACCACCTCTTGCGCAGCATCTGGGAGCTCAGAGTTGCGAGAATGTCTTATGCGAAACGGGCCAGACCACCTTGCGTACGGCATCTCAGAGCTCAGAGTTACAGGGACGTCTCAGGCGAGATGGGCCAGACCACCTCGCGCAGGGCATCTCGGAGCCCAGAGTTGCGAGGATGTCTCAGGCGAAACGGCTGGACCACCTCTTGCGCGGCATCTGGGACCCCAGAGTTGCGACGATGTCTCGGGCGAAACGTGCTGCGAGGAAGTCTCAGGCGAAACGGGCCGGACCACCTCGAGCGCGGCGTCTCAGAGCTCCGAGTTGCGTGGGCCTCCTGAGGCCTCCTGGGGCCTCCTGGTGACCTCCTGGGGCTTCCTCCTCGGCCTCCTGTGGCCTCCTGGATCCCACCTAGGGCTTCCTGAAGCCTCTTGGGGGGGGGCACAACAGCAGAAAAAAAATCAACGAATCGACACCGGATTTGTATTAACTTGACACGTTCTGATAGGGGGCCTCCTGGGGCCTCCTGGGAGCCTCCTGGGAATCTCCTGGTGACCCCTGGGGCCTGTCCTGGGCGTCCTGCGGCTTCCTGAAGCTCTCTGGGGCCTCCTGGGGCTCCCAGGGTCCCAGGGGGGATATGTAACATGTGGTCTTCTGCGCCCTCAGGCTGGACCACCTCTTGCGCGGCATCTGGGATCTCAGAGTTGCGAGAATGTCTTGTGCGAAACGGGCCGGACCAACTTGCGCACGGCATCTCAGAGCTCAGAGTTGCAAGGATGTCTCAGGCGAGACGGGCCGGTGTCTCGGGCGAAATGTGTTGCGAGGAAGTTTCAGGCGAAACGGGCTGGACCACCTAGAGCGCGGCGTCTCAGAGCTCCGAGTTACGGGGGCCTCTTGGTGCCTCCTGGGGCCTCCTGGTGACCTCCTGGGACTTCCTCCTGGGCCTCCTGTGGCCTCCTGAACTCCACCTGGGGTTTCCTGAAGCCTCTTGGGGCTCCCAGGGGGGATATCTAACCTGTGGCCGTTTGGGCCTCTCAAAATGGAGGGGGGGGGGCACAAGAGCAAGAAATATCAACGAATCGACACCGGATTTATATTAACTTGACACGTTCTGATAGGGGGCCTCCTGGGGCCTCCTGGGAGCCTCCTGGGAATCTCCTGGTGACCCCTGGGGCCTGTCCTGGGCGTCCTGCGGCCTCCTGGAGCTTTCTGGGGCCTCCTGGGGCTCCCAGGGTCCCAGGGAGGATTTGTAACGTGTGGTCTTCTGGGCCCCCAGGCTGGACCACCTCTTGCGCGGCATCTGGGAGCTCAGAGTTGCGAGAATGTTTTGTGCGGAACAGGCCGGACCACTTTGCGCACGGCATCTCAGAGCTCAGAGTTGCGAGGATGTCTCCGGCGAGACGGGCCGGACCACCTCGCGCAGGGCATCTCAGAGCTTAGTAGTTCGAGGATGTCTCAGGCGTGCTCCCAGTGTCCCAGGGAGGATATGTAACATGTGGTCTTCTGGGCCCCCAGGCTGGACCACCTCTTGCGCGGCATCTGGGAGCTCAGAGTTGCGAGAATGTTTTATGCGGAACAGGCCCGGACCACCTTGCGCACGGCATCTCAGAGCTCAGAGTTGCGAGGATGTCTCATGCGAGACGGGCCAGACCACCTCGCGCAGTGCATCTCAGAGCTCAGAAGTTCGAGGATGTCTCAGGCGAAACGGGCCGGACCACCTCTCGCTCGGCATCTCCGAGGTCAGAGTTTCGAGGATGTCTCAGGCGAAACGGGCCGGACCACCTCGCGCAGGGCATCTCAGAGCTCAGAGTTTCGAGGATGTCTCAGGCGAAACGGCCCGAACCACCTCTCGCACAGCACCTCGGGGCTCAGAGTTTCGAGGATGTCTCAAGCGAAACGGCCCGGACCACCTCTCGCGCGGCGTCCCGGAGCGCAATTTTCCGAGGATGTCTCAGGCGAAACGGCCAATCCCGGCCACTTCAGAAACGAGAGTTGTGAGGATGTCTCAACCGAAACGGCCCGGACCATCAAATTTTTGTGAGGATGTCTCTGCTCCGACTTCCTTCGGCCGGAGTTAGCTTCTATCACAACAGCACCCCGTTCAGCAAGCTGTTTGGGGACAAAAGATTTGTGGTACACTCGCGCAGAACATGCTGATATAATCGAATGCAGGGCAAACAAAGGTTTTCAGAACCTGGTTGGCCCACGGGGTGTCAGACAATGAACATTGTTGTAGGTAGTTGCCACAGCCACATTGTTAGCGCGTGTTAGCGTTGCCATGCGCCCAGAAAGACCCGTCTTACTCGTTTCCAATGAGGGTGTTCTTGTACTGTGCTCTTTTGCATTATTTGTTGTCTCCCATCCTAGCGTGGCCACGATTGTGACCAACGTCCTTCATGTCGCTCACGCGTCCTGAATCGATGCGACACCGAGGCAGTCTGTTTATGATTGTCCTCTGGCTCGGCACACATTTGCAACGATCACTGGGTCCCCTGCACCAGAGTACACCCAGGAGGAGGAGGAGGAGGAGGAGGAGGAGGAGGAGGCGGAGACTGAGCAGGGGCAGGGAGACAGCGGGGCAGGTCCGCGTCTGTGTCTGCCGCTCTGGGCACTCGTGCACCAGGCTGCCGGGTTTCGACGCCTTCTCTGCTCCGCACGAGTTCCAGCCGCCTGAGGCCCTGCCCGCCTGTGCTCTGTCTCCCCAATTAGAGCTTTGCGTAGCCCGCCTAGTTTTTAACCGGAAGAGGCTCGCTCTCGACCCGCAGGCCAAAAAAAACTGCTCTGCAGGAGTGGCAGCTCCGGGCCTCGACGCCGTCGCCCCCCAGTGCCGTCACTGCGCATCCGGGGAGTGCGTCGCGTCCGGGGTGGAAGCATACTCAGTCTCGAAGCAGCGCCGCCAAGAGAGGCCATCCCGCATTTGTCGGCCAGGGGAGGGGTGAGGGCGGGAGTGCTCGAGGATCTCCATGTCGTGGGCATCCTCCGCAGGGTCCCCCCCCGTTCTCTTCGCCTCCTCTCGCCGTGGGCAGGCAAGCGGAAGGTGCGGCGCATCTTGGCCTTCGAGCGCGCGCGTCAGATGCTGAAGTGCGGGACCCGGTGGGTGCTCTTGTTGGGGAGGTGCGTATGCGGGGGGCGGTTTTCGGCCGCGGGTGCTTTCGGCGTTCCAGCGCATTTGATGTCCAGGAGGCGGTGTGCGAGACGAGCTGGGGGAGAGTCAGGTGAGGGGTTGTCCTGGGTGCTCGTTTCGTGGGATTTTCAAAGGCTTCCATGAGACAAGAGCCTGTTCGGAGATGTTCGGAGGTGGGCCTTGGGTGGTTTCACGCTCTTCTCGTTCCCGTGTAAGCCCACGCTGCAGGGATCGAGAACTGCGCCGACTATCGATAAGTTTTGCACCCTGGCCCGGCACTCCCCCAGCGGCGACCAGGATGCTGGTGCGATGCCCTGATCATCTGCGCACGCAAGGTGTACATACGTAGGGATGGCTCCACGTTTGCTGAGACTTCGTACGAGAGCTGTTGGTGGCCGTTGGACCATAACCGTTGCCTGGGTTATGCGCACCCTCCCAGAGCTTGTTGCCGCCAATGGCCTCGCTACAACCCGTGCCCTTGCCCTGCGCCTTGTTAAGATCGTTGCGGGCCATTATCTTCGCGGGGGCATGTTCGGAGGCCTAGAGGTTGACGCTAACGCCAATATCGGCGGTGTGCCTCCACCGAGCTAAGATGATCCCGATCTCGGTGATGGTAGTAGCATTCGGGCTCCATAGGTGGTCAAAAGAGTACCACCAGCACAAACATCCAGGACTATCTTCCCCGGTTGAGGTAACCCCCTGTGTTGATGTTGGTGCTCATTCCCATGCTTCCACCATGTGGCTCCCCGTTTTCTATTTTCCTGTTACCGTCGCCGCTACCAGTCCTGGCCCCCTGTCCTGGCCCTGCGCACCGAAGAGCTCGTCACCGCTACTGGTCCCGCCCAGCCCCAAGCGTTGCACCCGTAAATCTCGTCGACGTCATTCGCCTGGACCAGTCCCATGCCGGGAGGTGCGAAGTCCGTACGGGGAAAGACCGTACGGAGAGCTCGGTCTCCGTTTGGGCTTATTCCGTCTCCCCTGATAGGATGCTAACTCCGTGCGGAGTAATTTCCCCACGGAGTGCTCGGCTTCGTCTGAGCTTATTCTGTTTGGATTTAGCCTTTTCTGACCATGCCCCTGCTTTGCGCCAAACGCTGGGCTCAGCCAGTCCCACGATTTGCGCGGTCCACACTGCTTGGTGCTTCCATTTGCAGTCACTGGTGCCTCCGAGCCCCATGACCATGCACTGCGCGCCCATAAAGCTCTTCGCCGACAGCAGCCCCGCGTGGCTCAGTGCGTTGCGCTTCATCAAGCTCGTCGCCGACACCAGCCCCGTCTAGCCCTCATGCCACTGCACTGCGCCTCCAATGTCGCGTTAGACTGTTAGGTCACCCGCAGGGGTGGGAAGCTAACAGAGCTTCGCGCATCGGGGAGGGCCAGAGAGTGCGCACTTCTGCAGGCGGGCGGCGCACGCGCGTCGCACATTGCGGGGCGCGATGCGCGATGTTAGGCGACCTGGGGACATTTTCAAGCGAAGTCCCGTTCGGAGTCAAGCTAGTGATCGTGCTGTCAGTTTCACACCATTGGCCCAGGGGATGCTGAAAGCTAAGAGGCTGACGTTGATCTTGCTTTGGGGTGGTTTGGGGCGGGATCCTGCAGCTGACTTCGAGGAGCATCTTGTTATCATGGGGAGATGCGTCCGTCGTTTCATTTGGACGAGCGGCAGAGATCTCCTCGCACCCACTGGCTCTGCTGGGGGGGAGGGGAGGGGGGGCGCTTCCAGGGCGCATTCCAGACTTTCGCTCTTGACTGCTGGATGCTTTTTCGGGTGGGTGATTGAGACCTTCGGCGTGCAGCCCATATCCGCTCGCCTTAGGCAGCGGTCTTGCCGCGGTCACTCTGATGCAGGCCTCCCGGATGTGGTCCGAGTAGATGAGATCGAAGGATCGCGGCGCATCGCCGATGCATTGGCGACGTCGACGCGGAGAAAGTCGGGCTCCACATTGAGCCGCATCTCCGATGCATCGGCGATGCGGCGCGATCCTCCGAACCCATCTACTCGGACCCCATGGAGGAGGCCTCTATGTCAGAAGTGTCGGAGATGGGGCCGAGCTGATCTTCGCCAGGAGCATCCCGCTTACTGTCCCCGCATCCATAATAGCGTGAATCCCGGAAGAGGATCCCCATCATGCTCCGCAGCGACCCGAGCCGATAGGGTAGGCTTATTAGTGTCCCACGTCGTGCAGCTTGGGACTCCAAGAGCAGCAAGGGATGCCTCCTGCAAGGGTACTCTTGGAGGCGACTATGCCATCATATATTTGTGCAAGTGCGCGTCGTACACGTATAGATGCGTGCATACAGGCACATATGCACACACAGGGTTCAAGTATACGTTTACATCTGTGTACGGGTCTTAAATACCTGGGCGCTCCAACAACATACCAAGGCTTCAACAATCACAAGTATACAATTGCAGCTGGCGAGGCCACAACCGTAAGAGATGTAGGCGCACATTGCACTAGCATCGCACGAAAAGGCCGCGTAGATCGACAAAACGGGACGACCAAACACAGCAAAAGACGACGTGGAAAGGAGAGACAGGACAAGGCGAGGAAAGAGGCAGGGGTGGGGGACAGGTGCGCCGAGCAGCGAGGAGAGGGGGAGGGGAGGGGGGGGCAACGGAGCCAACGAGGCCGACATGGTGGGTACAGCAGCGGGAGCAGGGGGCAGACCAGTGCAGCAGAGGGCAGAAGCAGGAAGTAGACGGCTGTGGCCGAAGCGGCCGCGGCCACCTAGGGGCAGCGGCTGCGTCAGACATGGTCACTCGCACATCGCACACACAGTGCATGCACAGGCTCACCCGGTAGCAGCACATGCTGCATGAATATCGAGCGCATGCCATGCAGATCGAGCTGATCACACACGCAGGCGGCGCTTTTCGGGTGGCCAGTGGCCACGCACCCTCCCAGCGGAAAGGAGAGGAGTCCATGGGAGGGGAGTAGAGAGGGAGGGAGGGCAGGGTAGGAGGGCTGCCGGGACCCAGGCCCCCGATGTTGCTATGTATTTTTAGGTTGATCTCCTGAGTTTTCGGCCGCATCTTCTGCACAGATCGGATAGGCTTACGCAACGTTCGCCGACCCCTGTATAGACTACTGCGCCTGCAGGACTGCTGCCCGACATCGCTCTTGCTGCTTCGTTGTTGTCATCGCATTTCGTGTTTGTTGCTTGGTCGTCGCGCGTCGATGCTAAGCTGCCAATCTGAAGCACAATCATGGTTGGTTCTCCCCTGGGATGCGCACTGCGCTTTTCAAGTTGCAGTGCTCTCCCAACGGCTTTCAAGTCGGGGGAGCGTAAGACCCGGGTTTGCCGGGACTCGGGTTCGCCATCGTTTTTTGACGACCGCGACTCGGATTTTGACGAGGAGGAGTTTTGTGGGATGTCTGCAGCGGGAGGCCTCGTCAAAATGCAGGCTCGGCCTCGTCATTTTTTTGACGACCTCGTCGGGGATTTCCGAGTCCCCCGTACCCGGGTCTTACGTCTCCCCGATCAAGTTGAAGTGCCCGCCCCTGGGCCTTCCTTGGGACGTCGTGGGCCGTCGACGGTGCTTGTCGTCGGGCTCTCTTGGGCCGTCGCGGCGCCCTCTTGGCACCGTGGCGGGTGCCTGGGGGCCGCCGTGGGGCCGCCTTCGCGCCGTCTCGGGCAGTCGAAGGGCCTTCCCGGGCCGTCTCGGGGCCGTCTTGGACGCCTATTGGGCCTTCGTGGGGCCCCCTTGGGCCATCTATAGGCCCTCGTGAACCATTCGAAGGCGCGAGAGGATTCTGTTCTTTCGTCGGGCCATGTTAGAGGTCCTCTTGGTGCTCTTTGGGGGCCCGTTTGGTGCCATCTTGGCCTGATTGCAGGCCATGTCTGGCCGCCTTGGTGCCATCTCGGCGCATCCTCGAGGCATCTTGGGCCGTCTTGCTTGCTCTGGTTGCCTTCCTGGGCCGTGGAAGCTCGGGACGCGGACACGCAAACTTCCAACGAGGGGTCGTGGCCTTGGGAGCACGGCTCCAATGCTGTTTAACGAGGGATCGTGGCCTCGGGGGCGGGGGGCACGCACAGGCTAGTCTGGCAGTGGAAGTGCGGGCGGTCCGAATCATAACACGCTGCAGAGCAGCACCTGGCATTCCAGCATGCCCACGTCGTGCAGCCACGAGAGCGCCGGCTCGCTGCGATGTTCGAGCGAGAAGTGCCCGTCGCTCTTCGAAAGGGGGGCGGAGATGTCGGGAGCGCAGAAGGAACACAACGCAGCCAGGGAGAGGTTGTGTCGGAAATGCGCGGGGGAGCGTGAGAAGTTGACGCGCGAGCCAAACAATGGCAAACGGAAAACAAAAGCGGACGCGAAGCCGCTGACGTGCGCGGCGTGCGGGGGAGCTTTCTCGGACGCGAGACTCTTGAAGAAGGATCTGGTGGGAAATCATCGAATGAAGAAGCAGGCGCGCGTGGCGTGCGGAGGGTGTAAGCACCCCAGGTTCACAGCGCGCAGTTGGCAGAGGTATCAGCGCAGCGGCACGTGCCAGAAGCAATTGCCGAAGTCGGCGTTCCCCGTGGCGGGTGGGAGCGTCGCGCGCGCCGAGACATTCGAAACCTTGAAGTGCAAGTCATGCAAATGATGCCCGTTCGGGTGACCATGCGGGAGATCGCTTCGGCAATGGCGGCGCACGTACCGAATTTCGTGGAAGGAGGGGGCCGAGGAAGAGGAAGGGGGAGGAAGAGGAGGAGGAGGAGGAGGAGGAGGAGGAGGAGGAGGCGGAGGTGGAGGAGGAGGAGGAGGAGGAAAAGGGGGAGGAGGATGACGTTGGAGAAGGCGGAGGAGGAGGAGGAGACATTGGGCGGGTTCCCAGACTCAAATATTGCATGGCCTTCGGCCCATCCGCCGCCGTGCCTGGGTTGTGGGTAGTAAGAGGCCACTGAGATGGCTGATGTATTCTCATCGGAGGCCTCGCGGGGGCTTCTTGGACCCTTGGAGGCGCGTTTTTAACCTCTTAGGGGCCTCTTGGGCCACTGTGGGGCTCTTGTGGGCCTCTTGGTGCCTCTTTGGGGGTTCTTGGAAGCTTGCTGGGGCCTCCGGAGCGCGTTTGGGGGCCGAAGGCTCGAAATGTCCGTTGTGGTTCCCATCTTGGCTTCTCTTGGGGCCGTTATGAGGCCGTCTTGAGATATCTCGAGGGCTTCTTGGGCCGTTATGGTACCCTCCGTGGCCGTCTTGGAGTCGTCTTGTAGGACCGCATCGGGGCAATTTTGAGGACATCTGGGGCCGTCCTTGACTGTGTGAAAGTTCCAGGGGCGAACATGGAACACATATACGTTTTCCGAGGGGGGTGGGGCGAATTTTTGCCTCTTAGGGCCTTCTTGGGAGGCCTCTTGGGGGCCTCTTGGTTATGTTGGGGTGTTCTTGAGCCGTCTTGGGGCCACCGTGGGCGTCGTGGAGCGATCTTCTGGCGACTCGGGGCCCTCCTAGAACCGTTTTGGGAGTTTCTTGGGGCCCTCTTGAATTGTCTTGGGGCCCGCGAGCCCCCCATGATGCGTTCGTGCTGGGCCGCGGGGGGGTCAAGTTCCTGGCTCGGGAGCCCCAGGGAGGGGATCAGAAGGTGACGGGAAGCGCCTCCGGCGTGCACCGTTGGTTCAGGGGCTTAATTTTCTCTTACTAAATGGTATCGATCGCATCCCGCACCTCGCTGGCGGATGACGGGAAGCGTCTTCGAGGTACGAGAAGCAAGCGGGACGTTCTGGCTGAATCCTTGAGTAAATATATATATATATATATATATATATCTTTATATCTATGGGTTGCGGGATTGCACGGGAGTTTTCGTTGGCGGATTCCCCAAAATGGCCATTTCGCTCGAGACATCCTCAAAAAATCGAGGTGTGGTCTGCCGTGCTCCTGTGTGGTCTGCCGTGCTCCTGTGGTCTGCCGTGCTCCCCACAGGAGCACGGCAGACCGCGCGCAGGAACCGAGAGGAGCACGGCAGACCAAGACGAGGAGCACGGCAGACCAGGCACTGAAACCGAGAGGAGCACGGCAGACCAAGACGAGGAGCACGGCAGACCAGGCACCAAGAGCGCCCTCAAGACGACGGAAAGGATGACCAAGACGAGGAGCACGGCAGACCAAGACGAGGAGCACGGCAGACTATGCCTTAAGAGTGCCCTCAAGACGGCCGAACAAGCGGGACGTTCTGGCTGAATCCTTGAGTAAATATATCTTTTCTTTAACTATATGGGTTGAGCACGGCAGACACCACACGAGCACGGCAGATCCCAAATGAGCACGGCAGACACAGAAGCACTGCAGACCACACAAGAGCACCGCAGACCTCACAGGAGCACGGCAGACCCCACAGGAGCACGGCAGACCCCACAGGAGCACGGAGCACACAGGCACGGCAAACCACACAGGAGCACGGCAGACCACACAGGAGCACGGCAATCCCCACAGGAGCACGGCAGACCGCGCACAGGTACAACATAAACGCGCCTTTCTTGTACCCCGAACGCCGCTGGCGTTTCCCCCACAGGAGCACGGCAGACCCCACAAGCTGGCGGGAAACCCCAAATGAGCACGGCAGACCACAGGAGCACGGCAGACCACACAGGAGCACGGCAGACGCCACAGGAACACGGCAGACCGCGCAGGAGCACGGCAGACCACACATGAGCACGGCAGACCCCACAGGAGCACGGCAGACCCCATAGGAGCACGGCAGACCACAGAAGAGCACGGCAGACCAACAGGAGCACGGCAGACCACACAAGAGCACGGCCGTAGCCATTTTGGCTCAAGCGAGCCTGGCTTACGGCAGGCCCTCGGGCGCGCGGGCGCGCCCGCCAGAGGCCATGGTACACTCCGGGTGCGGAGCGGCTTGGGCGGCTGCGTCTGCCCGCACCCTGGCTCGGCGCTTGCGGCGCGCGCGCCGCCAGGAACTCGGGCTCAGCAGGGCCGCAGCGCTGGCGCAGCGGACCAAGGTCCTGCGGCGTGCGCTGGCGGCGCACTGGCAGCTCGCCGACGTCCTCGGCGGCTTCGCGCCCTGCCACGGCGACGCCCTGGCAGCTGTGAGGCTGCTCGGCGCCGCGCCTGCAGTGCTGATCGATGCCCAGTTCGACCTCGAGGAGGGCAACTGGGCGCGGCACGCGCCGCCTCCAGGACAAGCTCGTCTGCGGCCTGTCCCCACCGAAGCGCGCCGGGCTGAGGTTGCCGAGGCGGCCTTGGCGCAGACCCAGGTCCTGGGCGCAGTGCCGCTCGCGGCGCCCCTGGCCTTGGAGCGGCCGCCTGGAGTGTGGCACGAGGTCTCCTCGCGCGAGTGGGGCAACGCGCCAGCCGGCGGCGATGCGAAGGAGCCCTCGGCGCTCTCCGACTTCCGCGTCGAGCCGCGCGCCCTTCCGCTGGCCGAGGTGCTGGCGCCTGGTGCGTGGCAGGACTTCGACCTCGTCGCGGCGTCCGCGGGCCAGGTCTTTGCGCAGGGGGTTGCGGCGGGCTGGCGGCTCGCTGTTCTGGAGGCTGGGGCCGCGGGCGAGCACCAGCGGGCCGACCCCTACGACCTGTTGCTGGACGCGCTGGGCATCGAGAGCTGCGACGGCCGGAGCGAGGGCGGCGGCGACGGGGACGACGGCGGCGCCTTCGGGGACCATGCCGTGCCCGCGGCTGGCGAGTCCTCGCCGCTGCTGTTGTCCGTCAGTGGCCGTCTGGGCGAGGCGGTCAGCCACAACGACAGCGACGACGACAGCGTAGGCGGCCAGGGGCAGGAGCATGCCGACGGCGATGCTGCTACTGCCTGCTCCGCCACCGCTGCGTCGGCGCTCAGTGGAGCGATCGCGACCTACCTCGGCGTGAACGAAGCCGCACTCCTCCGTGGAGACGGAGACGGCGGTCGAACTGCCGCGGGATTCGCTGAGCTGGCCGTGCCGACCGAGGACGCTGAGGGCGAAGTGCGGCGATGGCTCGCCGACTGGTCAAAGGTGGCTCACATTTGCTCCCTGCAGGAGCAGCTGGGGGCTGCTAAGAAGGAAGTGCAGCTCCTGCGCTGGAAGGCAGGGTGGCTGGAGATTGACTCCGTCGGGGTGAGGTGCAGGGCAGGCCTGCCGTTCGTCCTCCAAGAGTCTGGGGGCCGCATCGCCTGGCATGAGTTCTAGGAGCGGGGGCAGGGACTTCGGCGAGGCCCGTTGTGTGTTTCAGCCCCCACGTGAGGTCAGGCCCGTTTGGCTTTGCAATGCGTGTGCTGGCCTCACCTCGAGGTTCGTGAGGCCCTTCGTCACTTGTTGAGAAGGTGGGCCTCGCGTCTCATTTGCAGCGAGGCAGACTTCCTGGCCGTGCTTTGCGTGCCTCAGTCTCCGCTGCTGTCTTGATTTCTTTGAAATCTTGCGCTTCGCGCGTTTGGCGCTTCGCGCCCTCCCCTGCGGAGGCTCCTTCGGGGCCCCTAGGGTTGGCCCTTGAGGCCCTGGGGCCAACGGGCTCCGTGGGCCTCGGGCTCCTTTTAGCCTTCATAGGCCCCGCAGCTCACAGCTCACAGCTCACACAAGAGCACGGCAGGCCACACAGGAGCACGGCAGACCACACAGGAGCACGGCAGACCACAAAGGAGCACGGCAGACCACACAAGAGCACGGCAGACCCCACAAGAGCACGGCAGACCCCACAGGAGCACGGCAGACCCCACAGGAGCACGGCAGAGCAGACCCAAAAGGAGCACGGCAGACCACACAGGAGCAAGGCAAACCACAGGAGCACGGCAGACCACACAGGAGCACGGCAGACCCCACAGTAGCAAGGCAGACCCCAAAGGAGCACGGCAGACCACCGGAGCACGGCAGACCACACAGGAGTACGGCCGTAGCCATTTTGGCTCAAGTCAGTTCGCGATCCAGCATGCTCGCTCGGGCGCGGAATGGCGATACGGGACGGCGCGGAATGCGCGCCGAGGAGAACGGCACAAGATCGCAAGGCCGCACGGCTCTGGGCCATTCGCTCAGCAGATAGGGCGGTCTCCAAGCTGTCGGAAGAGCTTGGTCGGATCAGGGAGCAGCACACGCAGTTGCTCGACTTCGTGGGCGCGCTGGCCGGCGGCGATGCGGAGCTGGCCGACCGCCTTTTGGCACTGGCGCCAGCACTCCAGGATTTGCTGCGAGGACGCCTCCCTAGCCACGTCAGCGTCCTCAGGCGGAACGTGGCGTTGCACTCCGACGCTTCTGGTGTGAGCATCGCCAGCGCAGGAGTGCATGCTCTCAAGAGCCTCCAGAAGGGGCCGCGACTGGAGTGCAGACAAGAGGGCTTCGTATGGAATCCTGAGGCCCCAGTTTTCGTTCCACAGGGCTCGGACTTTTTCGAGCAGTTCATGCCGGCCTTTGAGGGCGAACAGGCGGAGATCCTGCTTCGCGAGCTCGGTCATCTGACTGCCCAGGCATCTCGTGCTGAAGCTGTTCCTGAAGCAGAGTCTGCTGGAGGCCCACCTGCGTGTGAAGAACAGCATGCACACCAAGCAGCTGACGTTTCTGTGGACTACCATGCCGAGCAAGCCGTGTATGAGCCTGATGCGGACGAGCATCGCCATCGTCTTCAGCAGTATCGGTCCGACTATCCTGCCCCTGCAGACGCCTTTTCGGAGGGATCTGCTGTGGATCCGACTTCTCGGCATGTTGCACCTGAGTCTATTCGGCCTGAGCGTGACGATGATTGTGTGAATGCCTCTGACGTGTTGCGCCCTGGAGGTACTGCAGGCCGTGCGCCGCTGCCTCCCGCACCTGCTGCTGACGGTGGTGCCACCGCTGGTGTGCCAGGCGCGTCTTGCGACGGCTCCGACGTCGACGACGTTACCCTGGACGGCGAGGCCGACGCGGACACCTCGTGCTCGGTCGGCGAGCCGCCAGGGGCCGACCATGCCGGTACTGCTGCAGCAGCCGCCGCGTACCTCGCCGCCTTCCCGCAGGCCCTCTTCAGCGGGGTCGACGGCGGCTGGGGCCGCTGCGAGGTCGTGGCAGGGGACTGGTGGCGAGCGAGGGCCTTCGTAGCCCGCGTTTGGCTCACCACAGGTGCTGCGACGGTGCAGGAGAGCGGTGCTGCTGGCTCTGCCGCCCCGCCGCCGCCGCTGCCTGACGTTCTCCTGCGGGCCGAGTGCCCGATGTCGGGGCGTGCCGCAGGCGCTGTGGCGCCGCCGCAGCGGCGGAGGGTCCGCTTCGCAGATGCCCCGTGCGTGCTCGATATTGGCCGTTGCTCGGGCGTGCGTGGTATCCTTCGGCGGGAGAGCGTGCCAGGGTTTCTGGATCCCGCTTGGACACGCCACGCCAAAGCTGTTGACCTGATGCACATGATCGAAGGCGGCTCCTTTGGCCTCAAGGTTCCTCCCATGCGGAGGCCGCACCAACTTCGTGTGCGGTTCGCGGATGGGTCTCGTCTGGTTGACGCCCTTCCGCCAGGGATGTCCGTTGAGCGTTACAGAGAGCTCCGTCGTCTTATCACATTGTGCGGAGGGCAGTAAGCTGTTGTCTCTGGAGCTACGAGGTCTGTGAGTGAGTCCTTCCTCCGTCCTCTGCTTGGCTTCATCTCTCCCGCTTGCATTCGCATTTGTGTATGTGCACGTGGGCTTCGTGTGGCACTCGTTGATCTTTGAAGTCCCTTTTCTTCAGCTTGATCTTCGGTGCAGCTTCGCTGCTTCTGCATGCCTCTCAGCACCGCCCGCCCTCGTGGCCCTGGGGCCTAGGCGCCCCCGTTGGCCCTGGCGGCCTGCCCTCGGGGAGGCCCGAAGCGGCCCCTCGTGAGGGTGTGCTGGAGGTTGGCCCGAAGCGGCCCCTCGGGGAGGGCGGCCCGAAGCGGCCCCCTCCTGCTGGCCCTGGAGGCTCCTGAGTGCCTCGGGCTCACCTTTTTTCCAGCCTTTACAGGCCCCACCACACCACACCACACCACACAGGAGTACGGCAGACCCCACATGAGCACGGCAAATCCCAAATGAGCACGGCAGACCACAAGAGCACGGCAGACCACACAGGAGCACGGCAGACTCCACAGGAGCACGGCAGACCACAAAGGAGCACGGCAGACCACACAGGAGCCCGGCAGACGCCACAGGAGCACGGCAGACGCCACAGGAGCACGGCGGAACCCACAGGAGCACGGCAGACCGCGCGCGGGTACAACATAAACGCGCCTTTTTGTTGTACCCCGAACGCCGCTGGCGTTTCCCCAACAGGAGCACGGCAGATCTCACAGGCGCGCGGCAGACCCCAAATGAGCACGGCCGACCACAGGAGCACGGCAGACCCCAAATGAGTACGGCAGACCCCAAAAGAGCACCGTAGACGCCTCAGGAGCACGGCTGACCACACAGGAGCACGGCAGACCACACAGGAGCGCGGCAAACCACAAAGGAGCAAGGCAGACCCCAAATGAGCACGGCAGTCCACACGTTCGCACGGAAGACCGCACAGGAGCACGGCAGACACCACATGAGCACGGCAGACCAAGAAGGAGCACGGCAGACCACACAGGAGCACGGCAGACCACACAGGAGCACGGCAGACCACACAGGACACGGCAGACCCCACGGGAGCACGGCAGACCACACAGGAGCACGGCAAACCACACAAGAGCACGGCAGACCATACAGGAGCACGCCAGACCACACAGGAGCACGGCAGACCACACGTTCGCACGGCAAACTCCACAGGAGCACGGCAGACCCCAAAGGAGCACGGCAGTGGTACGTGGCACTGCTGTGGTATGCCGTACTAAAAACGTGGAATATCTCATAAGCCCAGGGGACAAAAGGACGCTTCCCGTTCTTGTCCGGTCAGGTTCCGGAAAATTGCGGAAAAATTGTCACTCCGCTCAAAAAATCTGACCAAGACGCGCCAAAGACGGCCACCAGGGCTCCAAGACGGCCCAAGAGCGCTCCAAGACCGCCCTAGAGCGTTCCAAGATGCCCTAAGATGGCTTCCAGACGGTCCAAGAGAGCTCCAAGACGGCCCAGGAGGCCCTCAAGAGGCCTCCAAGACGCCTCAAGAGGCTTCGAAGAGGCCTCACAAGAGCGCCAAAGAGGCACAAATCTATGATTTTTGAATAGTTTTTGAAGGTTTTTGGGGTTCTCGCCTTTTCCGTTTCCCGACGCTCCAAGACGGCCCAAGAGGCCCCCAAGATCGCCCCAAGACGGCCCAAGAGGCCCCCAAGATCGCCTCAAGACGGCCCAAGAGGCCCCCAAGACGGCCTCAAGAAGGCACCAGAAGGCCCCAAGGCGGCCCCAAGACGGCCCCAAGAGGCTTCGCGGCGGCCCAAGAGGCCGTCAATATGGCTCCTAGAGGGGGCCCAGACGAGGTACACGAACGGACTTTTCGGGTCCTCGGCCCCAAGTGCCCCCCCGGAGGGTCCAGGAAGCCCCTGGGAGCCCCCCAAGACGCTCCAAGAGGCCCCCAAGAGGCCCCAAAAAGGCCCCCAAAAAGGCCCCCAAGATGCCCCCAAGACGGCCCCCAAAAACGGCCCCCAAGAGGCTTCAGAATTGCTTCTAAGCGGCCTACGAGAGACCGACCACGACATCCCAAGGCTCCATTACGAACGATGACGTGGGCAGCTTCGAACGCCAGAGCTCCCAGTACGAACACTGGCGTCCAGAGCTTTGACCACAAACACTGCTATGAGCAAAAACGGCGCTTCCCGTTCTTGTGCGGTCAGGTTGTAAGAATTTCACAAGGGACCCACAAGGGGTCGGCGGATTTTGCGCCCTTTGCTGTCCGTGGTGATCTTTGTTGCTTCCCGCGGCCAGAAACGGGCCTCCAGAGGCTCAAGCACAAACAGAAACTGACTTCTTCGCTATTCCAAGACATTGGAGGCTTGGGTTTGGGCCGTAGGTCAGGCCAGGGAGGGCTGGTCGGGTCGGTTCTGGCGTCCCCAGAAGGCGCCCAAACAAATAACCCACTAGGCCCTACAGCAAAGTATAGAACACATTCGATCACAAAGAATTCAGCATACACGCACACCTCCGAGGTGCACCTGCGGGGAAGCAGGAACACACAGGGCCTTGACAGTTTCGCGGAGCCCTGAGCAGCTCCGAGGGAGGGTTCCCTCGCGGGGTCGTGCGGGTTCGCCGCGCCCCACGAGCAGGAGGCACCGCGCCCCGGCGGAGTTCCGCGTGCCGCCGCTGCGCGACGGCGACCGGGTGCGCTACGGGCCGAACAAGAAGAAGCCCGGCAGCAACGCGTTCAAGCGAGCTCCGCGCGACCTCGCCTGCTGACGGCAGCGGCGACGACGGCAACGAAGGCAACGACGAGACGAGGAGGACGAGGACAAGGAGGAGGAGGAGGAGAAGAAGAAGGACTTCCTCCTCCTCCTCCTCCTCCTCCTCCTCCTCGTGCCCCGCCCCATGGAGGGAGAGGAGGGTGGGAGAGAAGGAGAGTGCGGCGGCGGACTTAGCATGGGATCGGCGGACTCGCCGGGGATCGAACCCCAAGGGGGGCAGCTCTCTCTCTCAGGCAGTGGGCTTCGGACGCCCTAGCATTCAGTGCGGAAGCACATGGATACGATGCCCCACAGCGAATGTTGTCCGCGGCCGCTGTTGGGCAGGCCACTCCTTTACGTCTCGAAGGGGCAACGTCTGCGGCGACACCGACACCGAGCGAGAGGACTGAGTGTTGCCAGTCGAGGCTTCTGGTCTCCCAGCCAAGGAGAAGCCACATGACTTTCCGACGAGAGCGGGAGGAGAAGGCGGAGCAGGCCGGGCAGGAGGCGGAGGAAGAGGGGGGAGAGGGGAGGGAGCGGGGCTCGGAGTTATTACAGCTCGTGCTCTCCGAGTCGGCGCGCGCAAGCGCCGTCTCTACAGCAGCAGGTTACGTAGACGGGGGCGTCGATGGACGACGACGTCAACGACGACGCCGACGCCGATGGAAACGACGACGGCGATGAGGGGCACATCCCTGGCGGTCAGCATGTCCTCCGGCGGCCACTTCGTTGAAGCACCACGACATCGTGGGTCAGCTCAGGACACGACCCTGTGCTCGAAATGGGGCAGACAAGCCCGTCGTGATGATTCGTAATGTTTCACAACGCCCGCGTGAGGGCAGGGGGGCATCACACGGCCCACAGACGGCCGACTGGTGCATCAGCACCGCCGTGTGGAAGCACTCGTTGAGGCCCAGCTGCTGGAAGGAGGCCCCTGGTCTCTCCGAGACCATCCGAGACCCTCAGAGAGAGCAGTCGACCATCTTACAGCACCAGACTGCTCTGGGAGGGCCTGGCGATGACCTGCTTTATCGGGCCCGCGCGCCCCCCACCCCCTCTCGCCCCCTCGATAACCTGACCTCGTCGGGGGCGCAGGTCCGAAGGGGGTGCGCAGTGCTGGTGCGCGTGGGTATCCATGGTCCATGGGGCTGCCCAGAGCGCGAGGGTTAGCTTATACCGGCTAGCACCTCCCCCCGTCCCCCCCACCGCTCCCTGGATAACCTTGGCCATCGCCGAACCATTGAAACGGACTCAATCTCCGACGAGGTGGGCGGGGCCTCTTTGCCCGCCAGCCGAGTCCCTCCGCGGCGCCTGCGAGCCACCCCGCGCGGGCGTGCGCGCGCACGCAGGCGCTACGAGCGGTACAAGCGCGCCGCCACGGTGGGCGAGGCACCGCGCCTCCCCCCCCCGCTGGCCCGCCCCGGCGCTCGGGGAGGGCCGGTGCATGCTGCGCACTTCTGTGGCGCGACTCAAAGAGGATCCCCCAGGACGCGTCGAGACGCAACAGAACATTGATCTCCAGCTGTTTTGGTATACTTCTGGGAGTGTTGCGTTCACGAGAGGTAAGTTGGTTTTCTTGGACAGACGGCGAGGCCCCAGAGTACGGCCGGGAACTTGTGGATAGCGTGTCGCTCCGCGGGTTCTTGCCCACCACGCTGCGGCGCGACACGCTATCCACTTCCCGGTCCCCCAGCGTCAACGTCCCGAGCTTTTCCGAGCCTCCCGCCCCGCGGAGCGGATCGACACGCTGTCCGCATCGAGCGAGTCGCCGGGGCCGCCGCGGCGACACGCTGAGCAAAGGCACCCGGCCGCAGACCACCCCGAGGGGGCGCTGAGAGGATCGCGCTGCGCGCGCTGCGGCTTGTAGAGGCGCCCTCCTCCAGGGGACGGCGGCGCGCGGGCGCGAAGATCCCCGCGCATCGCGGGGCGCGGTGCGCGAAGTCCCCAGGAGCCCCCCCTCTCCAGAGGCCCCCAGAAGCCCTCGGGAAGCCCCCAGAAGCCCTCGAGAAGCCACGACCGGGGGGACCCTCGAGAAGCCCCCAGAAGCCCCCCTCCAGCCCGGCGCCAAGGAAGGACTTGGGCGTAAATAGCACCTTGGAGCACCATATACTACCTCCGAGAATACCCCCAACGCTTCTTCCCTGGAACTATTACGACTTCTTCTGCGTCTTCTTGGAACACCTGGGGACACCATGGAACCTTCGAAAGCCTTTTTGAGGCTCCTCTGCTCCTAGAACCCCTCCCTCTCATCCTCCATCATCCCATTCCCTCCTCCTCTTCCCTCATCCTCCCCTCCTCCTCCCCTGCCCCTCCTCCTCCTCCTCCTCCTCCTCTTCCTCCTCCTCCTCCTCCTCTTCCTCCTCCTCCTCCTCCTCCTCCTCCTCCTCCTCCTCCTCCTTCACCTCAGCGAGAGCCCAGATGGATAAGGCCACGACGTTGGGGTTGTCCCTGGACGTCACAAAGACTGACTTGGTGTTGATTTGGCCTCTGCACGGAGGAGGAATGAGGAGCTCAGGAGGGACCTCCCGCACTGCGGCATTGACCTCCCCGACCTCACAGTTGCTTTCCAGGCCACCGCTCTCGGGGTGATCTTTGGGCATCGTGTAGACTTGGAGGGGCAGGCCCGCCCCTTTCCAAGAGCACCAGGTGTGGATCTGCTTCATTAGGCTTAAGTCGGGCCTGTCCCTCTACAGGGGGAATATCCAAAAATAGTAAAAATTATCCCGGCAAAGCAACCTAACAGCGATGTCTAGAAACATATTTGGAAGCATTCCCCTTAAGATTCAGATCAGAATCCAGTTGTAGAATTCTGCTGTTCTCGCAGTCGCAGTCGCATTCGCGATGACAGTCGCAGCGGCAACGGCAGTCACAGTCACAGCCTCAGCCTCGGCCTGCCTCAGCATCAGCCTGCCTCAGTTTCAGCCTCAGCCTGCCTCGGCCTCATCCTCAGCCAGCTTCAGCCTCAGCCTCAGTCTGCCTTCAGCCTCGGCCTCAGCCTCAGCCTGCCTCAGCCTCAGCCTGCATCAGCCTCAGCCTCAGCCTCAGCCTCAGCCTCAGCCTGCCTCAGCCTCAGCCTGCTGCGCTCAGCCGCATACTCCTGCGGCCTCAGCCTGCCTCGGCCCCAGCCTGCATCAGCCTCAGCCTCAGCCTCAGCCTGCCTCAGCCTCAGCCTGCTGCGCTCCCGCATACTCCTGCGGCCTCAGCCTGCCTCGGCCTCAGCCTGCATCAGCCTCAGCCTCAGCCTCAGCCTGCCTCAGCCTCAGCCTGCTGCGCTCCCGCATACTCCTGCGGCCTCAGCCTGCCTCGGCCCCAGCCTGCATCAGCCTCAGCCTCAGCCTCAGCCTGCCTCAGCCTCAGCCTGCTGCGCTCTCGCATACTCCCGCGGCATCAGCCTGCCTCAGCCTCAGCCTGCATCAGCCTCAGCCTCAGCCTCAGCCTTCAGCCTCAGCCTCAGCCTGCCTCAGCCTCAGCCTCAGTCTGCCTTCAGCCTCGGCCTCAGCCTCATCCTGCCTCAGCCTGCCTCAGCCTCAGCCTCAGCCTCAGCCTGCCTGAGCATCAGCCGGCTTCAGCGTCTGCCTCAGCCTGCCTCAGCGTCAGCCTCAGCCTCAGCGCCTCAGCCTCCGGGCATCCAAAATGTGGCCCGGGAGTGAGTGGAGTTCTGGGAACTCGAAGACCACGAAGTGGCCTACAGTTGGCTCCGGGCACCCAAAATGTGGCCCGGGAATGGAGTTCTGGAAACTCGAAGACCACGAAGTGGCCTACAGTTGGCTCCGGGCATCCAAAATGTGGCCCGGGAATGGAGTTCTGGGAACTCGAAGAGCACGAAGTGGCCTACAGTTGGCTCCGGGCATCCAAAATGTGGGAATGGAGTTCTGGGAACTCGAAGAGCACGAAGTGGCCTACAGTTGGCTCCGGGCATCCAAAATGTACGCCGGGAATGGAGTTCTAGCAGCGCCAAGAGCGATTTTGCGAGGATGTCCCAGGCGATTTGGGCTTCGACGGCAGCCGCCCCGGGTCCCGCCCCGACCCCCCTGAGGAGTCATGATGCTCTCTTTTGACCCCACTAGAAACATATCAGTCTTCGCTGTTAGGTAAAATCGTCAGGGGACGATGTTTTGACTATTTTTGCCCATTCGTGGGGCATTTTTTGAGTATTTTTTTATTTTTCGCCGACAATCCTCCTGTAGGGGAACACGCCCGACTTAACATTAGGCATCTCGATCTGGGCTTGGCGAGATGCCGCTCGGTCGGCACAGAGTGGGAGGCCTCGATGTGCTGACGCTTGCTGGGCAGCTCTGCCCTCCTCCGCCGCCTGTCCCGAAGGAGGGCCTCGGGGGCCCTGAGCTCCTCCGCCGCCTGTCCTGCAGGCGGAGTCGGATGGCTTTTGAGTCGAAGAAGAAGAACGGCATGCAGTGGGGGCGCGTGCCAAGAAACCAGTTGGATTCTGCCAGGGTGCCCTGGGTTTCTTGGATTTCGATGGGCCTCCAATAAGATCTTGACGATTTTCGATCGACAGCTTTGGATTTTCAGCGGACAAATCGCGGATTTCAGGGTTGGGTTTCTTGCGGAGGTTTCTTGTGGCCGAGCCCTTAGTGTACACATAAGCTTTCGGCGCTCCGCACGGATTATACATCTAACGGCGCACCGGGCTCGGGGGCCGAGGGTCGGAACCTCGACCACAAATGTGGGGACCGAGGCCCGGGCCCGCCTCTGGGAGGCCTAAAATCGTCCCGGGGAGCCCTCAGACAGCAATCCCGGCGGCCCCAGACGGTCTCGAGACACTCCCAAGACGCCGTCCAGGGGTCTCTGGCGACGCACGATCCGTTTTAAACTGCCCCGGAGGCCCCCAAGACGCCCCAAGAGGCCTTTAAGATGCCGCCCAAGAGCGCCCCGAGAGGGCAAAATCGTTAATTCTCATGGTTTTTGTTCAACGTTTTTTTTGCATTCACGCTGTTTCGTGCTTCCGTCGCTGAAGCACCACCCAAGAGGCTCTCAAAACCACTCCAAGACGGCCCAAGAGGCCCCCCAGAGGGCCCCAAGAGGGCCCAAGAGAGCCCCGAGACGGCCCCAGAGCCGCCCAAGACGGCGCAAGAGGGTCCCAAGAAGGCCCCAAGAGGGGCCCAAGAGAGGGAACGCGAACTGAAAAATCAAGCTCTCCGCCCCAAGATGCCCCCAAGAGGCCCCAAGATGCCGCCCCCAGGAAGCCCCCAAGAGTCCCCAAGAGGGCCCCAAGAGTCTCCAAGAGGCCTCCAAGAAGCCCAAAAGAGGCTCCAAGAGGCCCCAAGACGGCACCCAAAAGGCTTCAAACATTTTTCTAAGAGGCCCCCGAAGACATGCCAATAAGGTCCCATGACGACTTCAAGAAACAGTCCAGGATGCTCCAAGGAGGCCCCAAGAAGCTCGCTAGAAGTTGAGCGCGCGCGAAACGCGCGCGATGGTTCTAGTTCTTGGATCTACGCTGGGCCCCCCTGGCGACGCCTCCAGCGCCGCCCCTGGCGCGCTCCGCGCCACCAGGGAGGGGGGTCCAGCACAGATGCAAGAAATCCGCGCGGAGCGCTGAAAGTTTGTTTTTTTTAATGCCGTGCTTTCTTTTTCTATTGATGCCTCTCGCCTGCGGTCCTACGCTCATCCCTGGCCCTGGTCGAAGGCCTTGAGGACTTCTGCTGTCTGTCGGAGGCCCGGAACATCACCATCACGTGCAGGGCAGCGATTTCAATGGGGCATTCCAGAATAGGATTTGCCTTCGAAGGGTCGAAAAGTTGAAATCTCTTTATCGGCGGAAGCTGTCGGAAGCAGAACGGGAGAGGTACCGCCGGCGGGAGCTGGCTGAAGAAAAAAACGCCCTCAGAGATGTTTTCGAGATTCAGGCACGTGTGCCACGACAGCGTAGGTGTTCCCACGCGGTGATCGTGGTGGGATGGCGCGCGTACCATCCGATGATTGATGTGACGCTGGCCTTGCCCTGGCGAGAGCAGAAGCGCGCGCCAAGCGCGCGCGCTGTTCCAATTGTCGCATGGCCCGTAGCCGTTCTGGCCCAAGCGGCCCTCAGCAGGCCCCGCCGCCGCGCGCCGGCGCCCGGGGGCCAGCGCCTCGCCGCGCGCCTCGCGCGATCGGACGCGATGGCGGAGCCCGAGGAGCACCCTGACGGCCCGCCCGAGGACGAAGACGAGGCGCAGCGAGGCGCGCCCGCCGCGCTCCCCCGCAGCGGCTCCTTCGCCGTGGAGGCCCCGGAGAGACTGCCACACCCGGTGGCCCGCGTCTTCTCGACGGCAGTGGACGAGCTCCTCCCCCAGGAGCTCGAGCCTCTGCGCGAGGAGGGCGAGAGGCAAGCGCAAGTGAGCGCGTTGCTGGACGAGGCCAAGACCTGGTCCCAGGCAGCCATGCCGGCCTCCGCCCGGGTCGGGACAGCTCCGCGGAAGGCGCTGAGGATGGAGCAGAAGGGCGTCGCCCTGCTCGAGGAGCCAGAGCAGCCAGCGCAGTCTTCTCGCTGGCGTACGGCGGGGCGTGCCATCGTCAGCGCCACGAGGCTCAGAGCGCTTGCCCAGGCGCAGGAGCTGCCCGAGCCGCCCGACGACGACCACGACCTGGAGGGCACGGACGGTGCGGACTTCCGGCATCGGCAGGTCAGCGTCGAGACGGCGAACTCGCTGCCGACCTCCCAGGGGTTCCGTGGACTGGGCGTGCTCGTTGCTGCGAGAGCGAGGGCGGCCGGCGAGGGCAGCACCTCGCCGCCCTTGGCGTCGGTGGCCGAAGACGAGGGAGGCGAGAGGCCGCTGCACGTCCCCCCGCCGGCGCCCTGGGAGCGCCAGCAGCAGGCCTCCGCCGCGCCCAGCGCCAGCGAGGACGACGACGCCCCGCCGCCGTGGGCCGTGGCGGCCGGTCGGGCGCAGGCCCGCGGCGGTGGCGACGCGCGGGTGCAGAGGGCGGCGGTGGCCGCAGGCCGAGCGCAGCAGCGCGCCGTGAACTTCAGGGAAGACTTCGGGGATGACGACGCCGAGGATCTGTTTGCGCTGCCGACAGTGCCGACGCTGAGCAAGGCGTCGCAGCTGTCGGAGATGTCCACGACATCGGAGGCCTGGGATCCCCGGCGTCAGACCTCGGCGATCGTCCGCAAGAGGGGCATCAGCGTCGCGAGCAGCCTCAGCGATGATCCACAGTCGTTCAAGAGCGGCCATGTCGACGACGATGAGCTTGAAGTTGATGATCTCGCGGACGCCCAACCTGGCTCCTCCACCTTTCTTCACGGCGACGGAGCATATTCACAGAGGGTCATGGGGTCGATCATGTCCAGAACCATTCGGCGCGCGAGCACCAGCAGCTCGGATTCCCGCAGCTCGGACCAGATGAAGCATCAGGAGGAGTCGAGTTCGTCGGACGACGAGGATGCGGGCCAGCAGAACGCACCCAACGCTCGCGAACATGCGCTTCAGAGGTTGACGCCCATGCAGCGCGCACTGATCCAGAGGCGGGTGAACGACCAGCTCGGCATCTGCGAGGACCCGGCCGAGGAGTCGCAGGGGGTCCGCGTGCAGCGCGCCCTCGGCATCCTCCAGCTGCGCTCCTTCATCATGGTCACCAAGCAGGTGGTCGACGAGGAGCCGCCGAGGTGGCCCGCAGTCAGAGATCTGGTCCGCTCTATACGCTTCGAGATGCTCATCGGCGTGCTCATCATCAGCAACGGGGTTCTGATTGGTGCGGACACCATGTACGGGAAGTGGGAGGAGAGGCCGGCCATCCTCGGAGTGATGGAGCACGTGTTCACGGTGATATTTTTGGTCGAGTTCATTCTCCGCCTCCTGGCCTTCTCCTGGGTCTGGGTCTTCCAGCCGATGAACGCGTTCGACACCTTCCTCATTCTCGTGACAGGTGTGCTGGTGAACTGGGTGCTGGGACCCGTTGGCGTCGATGCGGGGATGCTGCAGCGCTTGTCGGCCTTCCGTGTCTTGAGGCTCGGGCGATTGTGCAGGGCAGTGAGGATGATGCCAATGTTCCACGAGCTCTGGATGCTGGTTCAGGGCGTCATGGAGTGCATGTCCCTCCTCTTCTGGGCCGCGATCATCATCTCCGTCATACACTACATGTTCGGCGTGGCGGTGGTCGAGATCGTGGCGAAGTCCGAGACCTTTCAAGACGACGAGACGACGCAAGAGATGTTCGGCGACCTGCAGAAGGCTATGTACACCCTCTTCCAAATCATGACCTTTGATAGCTGGGCAAGCATCGTGCGCCCGATCATTTTCAAGATGCCAGAAACCATTCCAGTATTCTTGCTTTTCGTGGGTATCGCTGGTTTTGTCCTGTTCAACCTCATGACCGCAATTGTCGTGAAGAATGCCTTCGACGCCGCATCTGAGGACGAAGAGGCGGTCGCGCAGATGAAGGAGAACGACCGCAAGCGCCAGGAACAGGCTTTGCTCGAGATGTTTGACGAGCTGGATACGGATGACAGCGGCATGCTGAGCAAGCAGGAGTTCGCGGAAAACGTCCTGGACGATATGGTGTTCATCCACCAGCTTAAAACGTTGGACATCGAGTTGGAAGAGTTGCCAGATGTCTTCGATATCCTCGACGACGGTGATGGCCAGGTGTCCACCGAGGAATTCTGCACCGGGTTGATGCGAATGCAGGGTAACGCTATGAGCAGAGACATGTTGAAGGCTACTAAGCGTGCCAAGACCGTGAACAGCAATTTCGAGGCCGTCAACAACGAGGTTGAGGGGATCGCCCACGACGTCCTGGGGCGCATCGAGGAGTCTCTGGACGACTCCCACAACAACTTCGTGGAGATGCAGGCGATGTGCGCGGAGGTGCTCAAGAGCCTGAACCTCATCGGCCTCCGGCGCGCCATCAAGGCGGTGTCCAACGTGCTCCCCACCATGGAGGAGCCGGACGACGGCGCGGAGGAGTCCCTGGTCGAGCAGAGGGCGAAGGACGAGATTGTTGCTCAGCGGGCTGTCCTCGCGAAAAGTTGCCCTGGCTCCTACATGAAGCCGTTGCCTGCTGCGTGGATCCAGAGGCGAAAGGCGAAGCAGGAGAGCAGGGCGAAAACCATGGCGAGAAAGACCCTCACCGCAGGCGAGGACAGGGACAAGGTGCACGGGACGCCGTGCGTTGCGCAGGAGTTCCAGAAGCAGTGGGAGGACATGCAGGTGTGGAGGCCGGAGATGACCTTCTCGGAATCACTCCGCGAGGAGGCCAGCAGGATGTGCACGCCCCCGTCCCTGGAGGGAAACGCTTCCGCGGGGGGCGTGCGCGGCCTGCCCGCCCACCTCGTGGACAAGCGGGCGCCGCCCGCGCAGGAGGCGCCGCCCCCGCCGCCGCCGCCGGAGGCTTCCGAGAAGCCGGCGGCCGCCCTCTGGCGCCGGGAGCGGCCCGCGGGGGGCGCGGTGCCTCTGCCATCGCACCCGCACGCGGTGCCGCAGTGCCCGTTCGGGGTCTTCTAGCCCGGGGCGACGGCGTGGGCCACGGCGGCACGGCCTGCGAGGGCATCTGGACTGTGGACTGTAGGCTGAACTTGCGCAGGCTCCGCACGACATACGTCGTCGCTGCGGCCCAGGGGCGCTCGCCGCGCAGCGAGCAGGAGCAAAAACAAGGAAAACATGAGCATGGAGCATGGCGAAGAACCCACCTATCAGCAGTTGTGAGTGCCGCAGTTGTGGGTATCGCCTCCCGTGGAGCTCCCTCAGGGGCCACGAAACGCTGTACTGGGCGGGGGGGGCGCATGCGGACTGCGCCACTGGGACCTTCGGTGGAACTTCCTATTATGGGGCCACGAAACGTTGAACTGGGGGGGGGGACGCATGCGGACTGCGCCACTGGGACCTTCGGTGGAGCCCCCTCTGGGGCCAAGAAACGCTGTACTGGGCGCAGGGACCGCATGCGAGTTCCGCCACTAGGACCTTCGGTGGGGCTCCCTATGGGTTCACGAAACGCTGTACTGGGCGGGGGAGACGCAATTCGAACTGCGCCACTGGTACCTTCGGTGGATTTCCCTCGCCACGAAACGTTGTAGCGGGCGGGGGGACGCATGCGGACTGCGCCACTGGGACCTTCGGTGGAGCCCCCTCTGGGGCCACGAAACGTTGTATTGGGCGGGGGGGGCGCATGCGGACTGCGCCACTGGGACCTTCGGTGGAGCTCACTGTGAGGCCACGAAACGTTGTACTGGGCGGGGGGGCGCATGCGGACTGCGCCACTGGGACCTTCGGTGGAGCCCCCTCTAGGGCCAAGAAACGCTGTACTGGGCGCAGGGACCGCATGCGAGTTCCGCCACTGGGACCTTCGGTGGAGCTCCCTATGGGTTCACGAAACGATCTACTGGGCGAGGGAGACGCATGCGGACTGCGCCACTGGGACCTTCAGAGGAGCTCCCTCGCCACGAAACTTTGTATTGGGCGGGGGAAGCGCATGCGAACTGCGCCGCTGGGACCTTCGGTGGAGCTCCCTCTGGGGTCACGAAACTTTGTACTGGGCGGGGGGGGCGCATGCGGACTGCGCCCTGAGACCTTCGGTGGAGCTCCCTATGGGGCCACGAAGCGCTGTCATGGGCGGGGGGGCGCATGCGGACTGCGCCACTGGGACCTTCGGTGGAGCTCCCTCTGAGGCCACGAAACGCTGTACTGGGCGGGGGGGGCGCATGCGGACTGGCGCCACTGGGACCTTCGGTGGAGCTCCCTATGGGGCCACGAAACGCTGTACTGGGCGGGGGGGACGCATGCGGACTGCGCCTCTGGAACCTACGATGGAGCTCCCTCTGGGGCCACGAAACGCTGTACTGAGCGCAGGGACCGCCTGCGAGTTCCGCCACTGGGACCTTCGGTGGAGCTCCCTCTGGGGCCACGAAACGCTGTACTGGGCGGGGGGACGCATGCGGACTGCGCCGCTGGGACCTTCGGTGGAGCTCCCTCTGGGGTCACGAAGCGCTGTTCTGGGCGGGGGAGACGCAATTCGAACTGCGCCACTGGGACCTTCGGTGGAGCTCCCTCTGAGGCCACGAAACGCTGTACTGGGCGGGGGGGGGGACGCATGCGGACTGCGCCGCTGGGACCTTCGGTGGAGCTCCTTGTGGGGCCACGAAACGTTGTACCGGGCGGGGGGGGCGCATGCGGACTGCGCCACTGGGACCTTCGATGACCTTCGGAGGGGCTCCCTATGGGTTCACGAAGCGTTGTACTGGGGGGGGGCGGGCGCGTTCGGACTGCGCCTGTGGGACCTTCGGTGGAGCTCCTTCTGGGGCCACGAAACTTTGTACTGTGCGGGGGAGCCGCATGCGGACTGCGCCACTGGGACCTTCGGTGGAGCTCCCTATGGGGCTACGAAGCGCTGTGCTGGGCGGGGGGGGCATATGCGGACTGCGCCACTGGGGCCTTCGGTGGAGCTCCCTCTGGGGCCACGAAACGTTGTACTGCGCGCAGGAACCGCATGCGGACTGCGCCACTGGGACTTTCGGTGGAGCTCCCTCTGGGGCCCCGAAACGTTGTACTGCGTGGGAGAGACGCATGCGCACTGCGGAGGAGGGAGGAGGGGGATGAGGAAGGAGTGAGTGAGGAACGTGGGGCGGTGTCTCTTCAAAACGAGGACCCAACACCACAGGATGATTGGGAAAAAGAAACAATCGGATGGCCTTCGGCCCACCCTGCCACCGTGCCTGGGTTGTGCGTCAGAGCGTGTCAGCGGCCTCCTGGATGCAGGTCATGGTGTCTTGGGATGCTGCTCGTGGACTTTTCGATTCAGTATGAAGCCTCATGGGGGCCTCTTTGGGAGCGTCTTGGGGGCCCCTTGGGTTCTCTTTTGGGCCTTTGGGGGGATTGCCATTTTGGGTGGGGAAGTCTCGAAGTGCCAGTTTGGTTCCCCCTCTTGGCCCCTCTTGGGGCCTCTTGGGGGGCATTTTGTGCCATCCTGGGGGGCCTCTTGGGCTGTCTTGGGGCCCTCTTTGGTCGTCTTGGGGGCCCTTTGGGGGGCCTCTTGGGACGTCTTGCGGCAATATTGGAAGCCTCTTGGGCCGACTTGGAGCGTCGGGAACCCAAAAGCAGAAACGCGAAAATCGTTCAACAACCCATGGGAATCCAATGCATGTTGCTCCTCGGGCCCCCCCTGGAAGAGCTGTTGGAGGCTTCTTAGGCGTCTTGGAGGCCCCTCGAGCCGTCTGGAGGCCATCCTTGACGTCTTGGAGCGATCTTTCAGCGATTCTAGGCCCTCGTGGACCGTCTAGGCGGCCTCGGCTTTTTTGGCCCGTGTTGGGGCCCTCCTGAGTGAGGGGATCGTCCCGGAGGCCCACGCGGAACACCCCGTAAGCGCCCAAGAGCGCCTGGGAAATCGGGGGCCTGGGCTTTTAAGAATCTGGAGTCCTGGCGGCAGCAGCAGCAGCAGCAGCAGCAGCTGCGTGCCAAGGGCACGGTGGTGGAGTCTTGGGGGTGCTTCAAGGCTCAAGGTTCCTGATGCCCGCCACGTGTGCAGTGCGCTGGAGTGCGGGCGTGAGCTTCTCGAGCGTGCTGCGCAAGAGTGCTCGCGTGGGAGAGCGCGCGGTACAGTTGGGGCGCTGAAGAAGGAACCCTTGGCGTTGGGGAGGGGCTCTGTTTTCCTTAATTGTTTCGCAGTTTGCCTTGGGTTTTCTTGTTGGTTTTCTGTGGGAAATCGAAGCTTTACTTATGGAGGACAAGGGGCCTCGTTCCTTATTTTGGGTTCCTTAAGTCAACTCCCCAACTGTATCTGCCCAGTCCTCCGTCAGGGGCAACGTCGAGGGGGGATAGGCTCCGGGGAGAACGCGTCGGTCCCCCAATCGCTCACTCCTCGCCGACAGGCCCCCCCCGCCCTCCTCCTCCCTCCTCCTCCTCCTCTCTCCTCTTCCTCGTTCCTCGCCAGTCGCGGGGATGGCGCCCCCACTGGCTCTCTGGGGGCCGCCCAGAGGGGGACCGTCCACGGTCCAGTGCGCCCCGGGCCAGCCTCGTCTTGAGGCAGGCCCTGGGATGCGACGCGGGCCGAAGGCTGCCCGCGCCCTCTGTGGGGGGGAGCAGGAGGAGAGGAGCAGCAGGGGCGGCCGGGAGGGGAAGGGGAAAGGGCCGGGGGGCGGGGGCCGTCGCGGTGGGCGGGCGGGCAGCCAAGGTGGCCGCGGAAGCCGTGGTCGTGGTGGTCGAGCCGGTAGTGGTCGAGCTGCTGGTCGTCGTGGTGGTCGTGGTGGCCGTGGTGGTCGTAGTGGTCGTGGTTTTAATGCTGACGGCCGGCCTGGTGGTGGCCGTGATGCTCGCGGTGATCGTGGTGGTCATTGGTGGTCGTGGTGGTCGTGGTGGTCGTGGCCGTGGCGGTCCAGGCGGCCCAGCTGGTGGTGGTCGTGGTGGTCGTGGTGGTCGTGGTGGCCGTGGTGGCCGTGGTGGTCGTAGTGCTGGTGGGTCATTTAGCACGCACTGAGAATCATCTCGGCGTTGCCCACAACCAACGTGCGCTGGATGCGGCGCCGCGCGGTGGCGATGACCGCTGACCGCTCTGCTTCAGGCAAATCTTTTCCGTACGAGCGGACAAATGAGACGAGCTCATCCGCCGGCCGCCCTCCCGTCTCCAGGACAGCTGGGACCAGCTCGCCGCCCGAGGGGGGGTAGCGGTTCCGTTTGACGCCCACCGCCTGCGACGTGGCCAGCCCGTCATTGTTGGATCTTGCCCACCTGCGCTCGAGGTTGTCAGAGTGTGCGCAGGTGACAGACCAGTCAACATAGATAGGCTGTCCTGTGGTCGCGTTGCGGGTAGCCACGTCGAGGCGGGCTTCTTCCAGCTCCCCGGTGACTGGGTCCACGCGGTCCCACGCAGGGACACGCTTCTCGGTGACCGCCATGTGGCCCGTCTGCGCCTGGTGGAAGGGCGCACTCCAGTCTCGGAGGCTGTTGTGGCGGTGGTCGCGAGAGCCTCCGCAGCCGCATCCTTAGAAATAGATTTTAATTGTAGCACAACGAGGCCAGTTTGTAGGGCGGGTAGGGCGTTTCGCCTGAGACTTCCTCGCCACTTATGACCCTGAAGCTTCAAAATTGGCAACCGTTTCACAGATGGAGGGCGGGTCGTTTTCAAAATGTGGCTCTCGCCTTAGCGCCGCGCACATTCGTTTCAAACAGTTTTCACTGAATGAGGGCGACCCGTTTTCAAAATGTGGCTCTCGCCTTAGCGCCGCGCACAGTCGATTTGAAAAGTACACCAGAGAAACAACTAAGTAGTAGACTGTCTTAAAATTAGGGTCATGGATCTTGAGATCGATTGTGAGATCGATAATGTAGACGATAGTAAGGTCGATCGTGAGACCGATTGTGAAGGCCGTTCAGTGAGATCGACAGTGCGATCGATCGTGAGGTCGCTCGTGCGAGCATTCGTGACAGCGACTGTGAGATCGATAATGACGTCGACTGTGAAATCGATTGGGAGATCGATAGGGAGGTGGGTAACGAGATCGATAGTGAGACCGATCGATAAGAACATCGACTAGGAACCTGGGTAAATGAAACCCTGGAACCCCGCCGCCGACCGAAGTCGGCGGCACGGAACCACCAACCAGGAACTCGGGAACCCGGAGCCAGGAACCCAGGAACCTGGCTCCCTACCGACATTTGTTTTGCGTTCGCCAAATATTCCAATATTCGCTAGAAACCCCCC